GCTTTTTTGTCTTTTCTCCCTATGCAGTTCAGGTTGACCTTGAATTCACCTGTAGCCCAGGCTGGTCTCAAACTCTCAATGTTTCTCCTGCCTCAGCCTCCCAAGCACTGGGAATTACAAGCTTGGGCCACCACGCCTGGCCTCCGACCCATTTTCTGACCAGGCCTTCACCTGGGTTCCCTGGACCCTTGGTTTAGATGGGCTTTGCTCAACTTCAGCGAAAATCCTGCTGAATCAGTTTAGTGAGGAAAATTCCCCGACTTAAGCTCATTCTTGCTATCGGATCAAGTTCCTTATTTCTAGCCTTTGATTTACATATAAATCTTTAGTCTGCCTTCACAAGAACCCCCTGCTCTTGATGTCTCCTTAGTAAATTCCTGTACACTGCCGTCATCTGCTCATTGGCCACAAATCCCAAATTTGCATTTGTTGCATTTAAGAGTTCAATTGCATTTAAGAGTTCAGTTCAATCTCTGTCCCCTATTCCAGTAATCCAAAGTGGTGGATTTTATTCAGCCACTTTGTAGGTAGACAAAGGTGGATTCATGTATACAAAGTGCGGATGTGATGTGAGTCAACAGTAATTATTATAATTGTTGTATTGTTCTTTTTTTATGAGCAGAATATATTTATGGAAAGAAAGCTCCTGTCCAAGAGAGGGACAGGAGGGGGGCCCGAGCGGGTAGTTCCCCAGGAAGCTGTCTCTTCCAGGGACTGTTATAGTGTAAAACCGGGGCCAGGGAGATGGCTCAGTAGGATAAACGCTTGACTGGCAAACGCAAGGATCTGAGTTCAATCCCTGGTTCCGCCAAAAATAAATAAATAAATAAAAATAAAAAATAAATAAATATAGTGTAAAACCATGTGGGGCTAAGGTAGAGAGAATGGGAACTCGCTTAGGTGGGCAGGAGGTGGACAAAACTATGGTCATAAAAATTTGTTACCTAAGCAAGTTCTAATCCAGAATTTATGAAAGCAAACTCATACCTCTGTCCAATGAACAAACGGAGGTTATGAGCAGAATATATTTATTGAGAGAAAGAAAGCTCCTGTCCAAGAGGGGGGCCCCGGGGCGGGTAGTTCCCCTATATTATTATTCTTGTGATAGGGTCTCACAATTAGTTCAGACTGGCCTTGAGCTCACTATGTAGCCCAGACTGGCCTCAAACTCGCAGCAATCCTCCTGCCTCCCGAGTAGTGGGATAACTAACAGGCATGTGCCACCCTGGATGGCACTAATTGCTTTCTTTATTCCAGTCTCTATCATGTACTACAGCACGTCCTATGTGTGCCAGCTCACTTCATTGCCAGTTTGACTGCACTGAGGGTAAACAATCATGTGGGCACTACCCGCTGATACACGTGCAAGAGTACCTTGATGTGAATCACTCATTTCTTTTTTGGGGAATAGGGGTAGTGGTGAGACAAGGTTTTGCTGTGTAATCCAAGCTGGTTTTTTTTTTTTTTGGGGGGGGGCGCGGAACTAGGGATTGAACTCAGGCCCTTGCGCTTGCCAGGCAAGCGATTACTCTACTGAGCCATCTCCCAGGCCCCTCCAAGCTGGTCTTGAAATTCTGCTCTTGCCTCAGCCTCCTGAGAGGTGGATTAGAGGTGTGCCCACCGCAGCCTGGTTGGAGGGGATCGCTCTCTCTCTGCTTGGGACTCTTCCTCTGAAGCCTGCTTTCTGTAAGAGAGCAGCTGTGTCCTACCAAACTCTTCCACCCTGACATTGCTGCTTGGGGCCAGCCTAATGTGGACGCCACTTTTGAAACAAGTCCCAAAGCTAACCTGTTCTTCCACCTACTTGTGGGGTATCACTGTTTTCTCAGTGATGGAAAAGCTGAGGAAGAATGTGTGCATATTACAGCATACACAATGTATGCATATCAGTCTTTACTGGCCTCCCGGGTTGTTTATTTTCCCAACGCTGTTGTCCCTAAAGTGGCCAGCAGCCTGGGGCCCTTATCACCTGTGCCTCTTCTTCAGACGTTGCTCAAGCCTAGTGCTCCTCTCAAAATGTGACATCTATTACTGAAAACAATATCCACACACAGCCTCGTCATTACGGAGACTCTCTCTACCTCCTCCTCCCACCTCCAAAACACATTTCTGCTAACTGGGGCTAAAATCTGCCCAAAATCTCAGGAGCCGAACCTTTACTGTCCTGGAGTCTGCTAGACCCAGTCTTTTTTAGAAGATCTATTATTAAGCCCCACTTTCCGCTCCCCAGTTTATGCACATATTCATCTCTGTTAGGTTGTTTCTTGGTTTTCCGACCAATGCAGCAGCCTGTTGCTAGAGATGTTTTTAAAAGCACGATTCTACGCTTGACAGAAGTCCCTTTGATTTTCATCGGCGTAGTAACAGGAAAGGGAGACTACAGTCAGCGAGGGGGAAAGGAGGCCTCCAGGAGGCTGTCGCTGGCCCTGGGTCTCCATGGAGAAGCCACAGGTGCTAATTTAATGGGTTTGGTGAGTAAGTACTTTGTGCCTTTTTTCTCTCTGCGCCTCCCGAGACTCTCCCTCCCACAGAGGGCCTTTCGGGCTCTCGCACATCGTGGGCTCGGAGGCAGCGGCCCCTCCTAAGGCGGGGTGGTCCCCGCGAAGCCCGAGGCGCGGCAGCCTTCCCCGCCGCGCTCCCGCGAGGCCTGGCCCCTCCGAGGCTGCCTGTCCGCTGCTGCGTGGTCCCCGGAGGCTCTCGCGGGGCCCCAGCGCGGAGGCCCGCGGCGTGGGGCGGGCGGGACGAGGACAGGGGCAGGGCGCGGGGCGAGGTCTGCGCCGCCCCAGGACGGGCCGGGCCTCGAGGGGCCGCGTCCCTCTGCGCCAGGGCGGGAAGGGCGACCCTGCGCGGTGGCGATGGTGGTGGCGGTGGCGCGCTGGGCCCCGCGATTCGGGCCGGTCCGTACCTGGTCTTGAAGTCCCGGTTATAAATAGTCCGCAGCCGCTCGCGGTCGGTCTCCGCTTCCAGTCCCCGGGCGAGCAGGAAACTCTGGAAGCGCTGGCCCGACTCCCGGAGCTGCCGGCGGCTGAACTTGCTGGGCATCGCGGCGGCGGCGGCGGCTGCGGCCCAGGCACAAGTCCGTGGAAATGAAACTGAAAGTCGCCGCGCGGTGGGAAGTTGGTGGCGCTGGTGCGGGAAGAAAGCCCCTGCTGGCCCCGGACCTGCGGGCTCCCCGCACCTTTCCCCACCTGAGCCGCCCCTCCGCTCTCCGCGTCCCCTCCCCCTCCGCGCGGCTCCGGCCCGCCCGCCCGCCAGCCCGCGGAGCCCGACCCCTCCCTCCGGTCCCTCCCCTCACCCCGGCCCCCTCCCTCGGCTGCTTGCCAGGGTACGAACGTGGCCGCTAGCTCCGAGGACCGCTCGGCGCAGCCAAGACCTTCGATCCTCCTCCAGGCGCGCGGCGCACTCCCACGCCCCCCGCCAGGGCCTCGGAGAGCAAAGGGCAGGGTCGCGCCGGGGACGGGCGGCTGCAGCTGGCCCCGGGCAGTTCACCAGCACCTCCCCCAGGCTGCTGGGACGAAACCACTGCGGAAATGGGCAGCACGCCCCCTCCCCCTTTTTCTCTGCTCCCTTCGGACGTGGGAAGACTAGAGTCGAGCAAGTTTGGGGAAAGAAGCAAGCATCTCCGAAATAAAAAGTGCACGTGTGGGACAGAGGGACAGGGGGTTCTTCCACACCAACACGCTCACTTGACTCTTCCCCTCCGCACAGGCTTCGCTGAGGCTTCGTTACATCACAAGTTTAGCAGTGATCTTTACCCTTGAGCCACACGCTTGGGTACTTGACTGCAGTCCAACCCTAACGGGTCTTTGTTAGCAGTAGGTGTTGCCCAACCATTAAAAGGTAATTAGCGCCCCGAGAGCAAGGTTAGACGATCAACAGCCAACACCAACATCAGTACCAGGAAAAGATTGTGCGCTTAAGAGACTGTTTAGCCTATCTAAAGAGGAGGTGGAGTAGCAAAAAATACATATATTCAGCCTGTAGCATTTATCCTCCAGAATAAAACATAAACTGGAATGGGATAAAGGTATTACGTTATGTGAAGAACTAAATCAGATAGACGAGAGTCGCAACTACATGAAAGCTAATGCTGTTTTCCGAAGTAGTTCCCCACAGGAGGCCACACACTCAGTCTAACCCACTGTGAGCAGGACTCAGGTCAGCCTCCCGCTGGGCCAACCGTGTATCTTTTCCCAAGGCCAACCGTGAAAGAAAAGCCAGAAATAACAGGCATTAGCAACAGGAAATGCTGTGTCAGTGAAAATCAAAGCTTCACGAAAAATAGAGCACAGGGAACTATTTTGTGGCAGAAATTCAGTATGTAAATTCGAAGAAAAAGGGAAGAAAGTAACCACAAATCTTACCTTTTCTCACCCAATTATTTATGAGGCCACGAAGGCCAGAGGAGGGCAAACTCCAAGCCATGCAAGGTGGCCATGAGGCAGGTTTTAGGCTGGAGTCCAGCCTGGGCAGTGATTTAATGAGACCGTGTCTAAAAAAGTAAAAAGTAAAAAATAATAATTAAAAAAAAGTAAAAAGGCCTGGGACGCAGCTAGGGGCAAAGACCCTGGGTTCAAGCCCTGTAACCACTAAAAATAACAGAAAAAAGTGTGTGGTCTGTGGTGTGGATTGTGTGCAAACTCCTCAAAGTTGCTGATGCTTTGCATCTGAAATACTACTATACCCAAACCAAATGTCTGGCTCACTTCTGACCACCAAATGTAAGTCATTATTTCTGGACACTTAACCACCCCTGTTCTCTGGCCAAACCTATCTCCTGGATGTTCTCCAAACACACAAGAGAGCTGTATTATATAGTAAAACCTTGGGTAGAAACTGATGCCCTGTCAGTTTCCTTACAGTGGAACCTCTCTAGTTTCATCTGAAAAATCAACTTCACTTTGAATTGTGGTTCTTTTCACACAAGCAGTTCTAGTATCTATCATGGTCTTCCCACCTTTCAAATCCAGCCTATGAGAAGCATTACTTAAATTTACAATTAAGAGGGGCTGGTGAGATGGCTCAGTGGTCTAAAGCACCTACTTAGAAGAAGCTTAGCAAAGCACAGGGACCACGGTTCAATCCCCCAGCACCACATGCCAGCCAGCCTCGCCCCCTGGTGGGCTGAGCTGGCCACACACACACACACACACAAATAAAAATAAAAAAAGAAAACAGGTTTTTTTTTAAAAAAATTACAATTAAGAGAATCTGGCTGGGGAGATAGCTCAGTGGTCCAAGTGCCTGCTGCCTAGGGCAAGCGCAAGGCTCCCTGTTGAATCCCCACATGCCCTACTGGCCACTGAAACCGGGCATGGTGACACATGCCTGTAATCCCAGCATTGGGGAGGCCGATACAGGAGGATCTATAGGAGTCCAAGCTGCGCAGTGAGACACTATATCAAATAAATATGAGTCTAACTTCAAAGTGATAGGGTTGGGGCTGGGGAGATGGCTCAGTGGAATAAGTGCTTACCTGGCAAGAGCAAGGGCCTGAGTTCAATCCCTGGTTCCACAAAAAAAAAAAAAAAGTGGTAAGGTTGATTTTAGTGACTTCAAACAGGTAGTCTGGAAATTTTACTTACTAAAATTAATCTATAGTTGTTTTTTGTTTGTTTGTTTGTTTATTCTTTTTCTTCCAGAACCAGGGATTGAACTCAGGCCCTGGAGCTTGCCAGGCAAGTGTTTATTCTACTGAGCTATCTCCCTGGCCCCTCTATAGCTCCTCAAAAGAACTATTTTGCAGATAAGCTTTGTATTCTATTTTATTTTAGTTTCTATTGCTCAGATTTCAGTTTTTTTCTAACCTTACATATTCAGACTTTTCTAGGGCAACTACTGGAGAAGTTCAGTTTTTTCAGTTCTTAAGTATTGAAATTGATTCCAGTACTTTGGAGGTTGAGCAAAGACTCCTCTTGAGTTTGAGAACAGCCTGGGCTACAAAGTGAGCTGAAGGCCAGCCTGAAAGGCACAGCGGAGACCCTGTCTCAAAAAGACAAAAACAATCCCCCCTCCAAAAAAAAAAAAAAAAAACCAACCAACTGAAATTGGTCTACTACACACCCAAGGAGAGGGTGTGGCAGGTGCTCATTATTGGAAGGTTCCTATATGCAAATTCAGCTAACTCACTAAAACTTATTTCCAACCTCTGGTCCATACAGTGCTCGTCATTCAGAATCATGCATGAAGGGGTGGAAAGCTGGAGTTTCCCAGTGTTCACCAATCCCAGCTAAGGCAGAACACTGATGCTCTGCCATGTTTTGGTTCCCATCGTATAAATACAAGTCTTTTCCATGGACTGGTTAAAGTATGCTTTTTTTAAAAATTTATTTTATTTATTTATATTATTTATTTATTTATTTTGTGTGTGGCCAGCTCAGCCCACCAGGGGGTGGGGCTGGCTGGCATGTGGTGCTGGGGGATTGAACCGCGGTCCCTGTGCTTTGCTAAGCTTGTTCTAAGTAGGTGCTTTAGACCACTGAGCCATCTCACCAGCCCTAAAGGTATGCTTTTTGTTCTTGTGTGCTTTGTATTGGTCATTCCCCCGCTTAAGATGGTCCCCAAGAATTCCTGTTAGATAAGCTTCATTCAGGCACATTAACAGTATTCACTAAGTGTGTTTTCAGGGACTTTACAGAATATAACTAGTCTGAATGATAAGGAATTAAGTGTATATTGACATACTCAGCTGCCTTATCTTTAACAAAGGAGCTAAACACCTTCAATGGAAGAGATAACCACTTTAATAGTGCTGAGAAATTGACTTTTCACATGCTGAAAATTAAAACTAAACCCGTTATCTTTCGCCATGCATTAAACCTAAAATCTAAGTGGACCAAAGATCTAATATTAAAACAAAAACAACTAAATCTGCTGGAAGATAGAACAGGTAAAACGCTTTAACTGGGGATTGAACTCAGACCCTTGTGCTTGCCAGGCAAATGCTTATTCTACTGAGCCACCTCCCCGGCCCCTAGGTAGAACTCTTGAAGACACTGATATAGGTGAAGACTTTATGAGCAAAACCCCAGGTGCACAGGAATTATCAAAAAGAATCAACAACTGGGATCTCCTCCTACCAAAAAGCTTTTTCACAGCAAGAGAAACCAACAGAAAGAGACAACTCGTGTGCGAAAAAATTTTTGCCAACTGTTCCTCAAAGGACTACCATCTAGAATATATGAAAAATTATGTGAAAAAAAGTGTGATAAGTGTTATTTTTCACTTATGTGAAAAATAAGTTAGGTAAGATAGCTCAATGGGTCTAAAGCCCCTGCTTAGGCAAATGCAGGGACCATGGTTAGATCCCCAGCACCACATGCCTTGCCAGCTCACCCTGGGCAGGTCGAGTTGGACACAGACACACACACACCACCACTGGTCATTTAAGACATCAATCAGTAACAAATGCTGGAGGGAGTATGGGGAAAAAGGAACCCTTCTCCACTGTTGGCAGGAGTGTACACTAGGGTAGCCACTGTGGAAAAAACTGAAACCAGAGGTTCTGTTTGATCCAGGTATTCCCTTTCTTCGTGTCTTCCTGAAAGAATGAAAAGTATACCTCAGCGATTTTTTTTTTTTTTTTTTTTTTTTTTTAAATTTAAAGGGTCTTGTAGTGATCCACCTGCTTGCAGCCTCCCAAGAGCAGGGATTAGAGGTGCGTGCCACCACGCCCAGTCTCAATCACCTTCTCAGAGTACCCCAGGGGTGGGGCCTCTGTGTTAACAGAGGGGCTGGGGAGACAGCTCAGTAGAATAAGCACTTGCCTGCAAGTGCAAAGGCCTGAGTTCAATCCCTGGTTCGGCAAAAAAAAAAAAAAAAAAAAAAGTGTAACAGATATTGTGAAACAGGAAGAAAATGTTTAAAAGGGAAGAGGGAGTAGGGAGGAGGAATGGAAGAGATTAAAAAAAAAAAAGGAAAAAATGAAAACGTTTGTGATTGAGGGGAAGAGGTGTTGGAGGATAAAAAGAATCAATATGGATCATGTACAGGTACAAATTTCCTGACTAATATGATCATTATGTATACCTAAAATGTACCATTTTTTTTTTTTTTTGCGGAACCGGGGATTGAACTCAGACCCTTTCGCTTGCCAGGGAAGCACTTATTCTGAGTCATCGGGGTCCCCGGCCCCTATAAGACACTTTTTTTTTTTTGGTGGAATTGAGGATTGAACTCAGGCCCTTGTGCTTGCCAGGCAAGAGCTTATTCCATAGGCTAATTCTTAATACCTTGAAAATGTAGGATTACTGTTCACTCTCAGGGTGCTTATAACTCTTATTCTGTATGTTTATATTGAAGAATGTAAGTTAGTTCAATTTATTCAATAGGACAGACTTTTTAAATTTTATTTATTTGTGTGTGTGTGTGTGTGGCCAGCTCAGCCCACCAGGGGGTGGGGCTGGCTGGCATGTGGTGCTGGGGGATTGAACCGTGGTCCCTATGCTTTGCTAAGTTTGTTCTAAGTAGGTGCTTTAGACCACTGAGCCATCTCACCAGCCCGAGACTTTTCTTCTATATGAGGATCTAGTTCACTAGATGGCTCTATCCAGAACTGCAATTTAACAAACTGGTATCCCTTTTTTTTTTAAAAAAACCATTTATTTAGTGTGTGTATGTATGGCCAGCTCAGCCCACCAGGGGGCAGGGCTGGCTGGCATGTGGTGCTGGGGGATGGAACCGCAGTCCCTGTGCTTTGCCAAGCTTGTTCCAAGTAGGTGCTTTAGACCACTGAGCCATCTCGTCAGCCCAAGTATCCCTCTTTTTGATTTTGGAGAAGTGTGTCAAGATTTGCCAAGTATGCCAGGAGATAGGGCAGTGACGTAAGTGGCTGCCAATGTGCCAAGTATCTTGTGAATCAACCTAAGTTCAGCATCACAGTTGTAGATCATTAAACAGTAAATGGGAACAGGCAATCAATAGAAGGTAAATCATTGTGGCTCAGGCATAAACAGCCGTCTGCAGTGGTACTTCATACCCAAATACAGGAGTGAGGCTTCACAGAAAATTCCTTTCTGTATGGCTGGGAAGTCTCTGCCCTAGGATACCAGACTGATTACAGCAGTGTATGCTACAACAAACACAATGCGAGCAAGGGGGAGGATAAGTCAGAGGCTCTGTGTAGGACTTGGCAAAGGAGGGTTGCTTTCCTGTTTCTACAAGTAACTAAGAGCTTTGGATATTACCCAAGTTCAAGGGGCTTAATTTCTATTAGTGACTGTAACTGTACTTAGGCCTTGTTTTCTTTT